ACAAATCTAAATCGCTTGAAATTTTAAGCGTGTGTTCTTCTCATCAAACCACATCTAATAAAAATAAAAAATAAAAAATCCATAAAACAATATTGACCAAAATACCCTTGACACATTATGAGGCATTTTGATAAATTTTTTTATGTAAAATAAATTTTTGATATTTTTTGAAGATTCACCTATTTTTTATGAATACACCCATAAAATTCAAGTGATTAGGGATTGTGAAAAAAAATTTAAACTTCAAATACTACCGGACATCGGTGATCATCAGATCGGCCCAAATTCAATCTGGGCCGTTAGGCTTATTTTTACTTGTGAGCCCACTAGCTCACAGGATCATTCTCTCTCTCTATATATATATATATATATATATAAGACACTACAAAACGCCTATAAGTGAAAAATGAATAGTGATTTCGCCTACACTCATCACCATCCAAAGCTCATCGCACGATCACGATTGTCCGCTAGTATTTTATTTTTCATTTATTTTTCTACAACTCATAATGATCTGAATTTAGAGCGAGTGTTCATTAAAAATAGATCAATCTACCGAAAAATATAAAAAAAATATTTTACATGAAATAAATTAACCAAAATACCCCCGAAACATTTCAAGAGTATTTTGATTATTTTTTTGTGAATTATTTTTTTATATATTTTTATTAAGTGCGTCTCACTAAGATATACACACGATCCAAATTTCAGATCATTCTAATTTGTAAAAAAGAAAAAGTGAAAAATGAAACACTCCAAGACAATCGTGACCATGCGATGAACTTTAAAAAGTGATGAAGATAGGTAAAATTATTGTTCATTTTTGCCTACTGGCGTTGAGAAGAGTTTTCCTACATATAACAGTGATTTCGCCTACCCTCATCACCATTCAAAATTCATCGTGCGATCATGATTGTCCGGTAGTGTTTCATTTTTAAATTTTTTTTTCAAGATCCAAATTACTTGAAATTTGGAGCGTATGTGGATCTTATTGAGGCACGCCGAATAAAAATATGAAACAAATAATTCATGAAATATAACGTGACCAAAATACCCCCAAAAAAATTTTGGGGTATTTTGGTTAATTTATATTATACGAATTATTTTTTTCATATTTTTATTAAGTGCGTCTCACAAAGACGTACACACACTCCAAATTTTTGATTATTCTGATGCGTAAAAATAAAATAAAAATTAAAACACTGCCAGACAATTGACTGTACGCCCATACGCGAATAGCCCAAATTGAAGCTAGGTCATTCTGTGGCCGATCTGACGTTCACAGATGTCCGATAGTATTTGAATTTTAATGTTTTTTTTTTTAAATTCAAATCACTTGAAATTTTAGGTGTGTGTTCTTCTCATCAAAACGTACCTAATAAAAATATAAAAAAAAATAATTCATAAAAATAAATTGACCAAAATATCCCCCAAAACCTTTCGAGGGTATTTTGGGTCATTTTATTCATGTAAAAAAAATTGATATTTTTGATAGATTCGCCTATTTTTTAATAACATACGTCTAAAATTTCAACTAATTTAGATTTGTGGAAAAATAAATAAAATTCAAACATTGTCGGACATCCATGATCGTCAGATTGGCTCAGATTCATTCTAGGCTGTGAACGTTTACTGTAGCAATACGCATATGGGTGCACAGCATCTTTTCCCATATATATATATATATATATATATATATATATATATATAT